CTAGTCCGAGTGTAACGTTGACCGGAAACCGGAAACACAAGGTGCTGAACGACGAGGGAAAACACGACGACCAGCATGTCAGAATATTCTCTTCAAAAAGTATCAAACAAAGATCGGAGATAGGACTAACCCACGGAGGGTTCATCCTCATTGGCTTGATGAGTGGTGGCGACTATGATACGGTAAGCTTCGTTCTGCTTCTCTCCTCATAACCTTGAGGTTGCTTCTGAGACTAAACTTTGAATTGTCAGGGTGGCGTTATGAAATGTGGCATCAAAACATCACATGCCCTCGCCCGCGGTGGTCTCGGTGACGCACTCCTCGAACTCTACGTGAACACGCCCGCATCCCGTCTTCCCATTGCCCTCTCCGATTGGCGTGGATCTTTGCGTCGTTACCTTGCCACGGATCCCGACAAGTATATCGGCCGTAAAGAGAAGAAGCTCGCGCAATCCATCCCCGACTCGTTCCCCCCTCTCGACGTCTTGGACGCCTATGTTCGACCTGTCACGTCCGAACTAGAGGGTATCGTGCCCGAATTTACGTGGTCAAGACAGCCGAGTTTAAAGGACATTACGAACCAGTGCGAGATGCACTACGAGTGGGGTGTCAAACCGCTCATCCTTAAACGATTCCGCACCGTCATTTGGAAAGGTGCATTGATGCGCGTCTTGAGAGCGGCGGTTATGGAGGGGGATGAAAAGGAGATGAGGAAGGCGAAGAGGATGGGAAACCCGATGGCCACACCAATGAGTGGACGACGAGCAGCTGCGATGGCTGTTGGCACTCCTTCTCGACTCATCACTCAGTGCTTGTCTGGGTTACAACTTCAGACCCCTAACCCTGGTGCCACGGCGAGAAACGACGATCCATTCTCGTCCGACTATCCCAGCGTCAACCGACCTGATGAAGATGATGCGTTGTTGGTCAAGATCCATTCGCAGCGTACGCATACATCAACAGACCGTATACTCGAATACCGTCTAGAGATCAACCCGACCCAATTCGTCCGACTGGTCGAGCAAGGGTTTATGGGTCTCCGCCCTGAAGACGAGATTGACGTGGAAAACTTTGGCAAGAGGCGAAGTGTAATCATTGGTGGGCGCGAAAGTGATGACGACGAGGAATTTGGGGACGTGGATGAAGGCGACGAAGAAGGTGGGAGGGGAAAGGGCAAAAAGAAAAAGGCACCCATGAGCCACACAGACCCAATGAGGATTTGGGTTCCGGCTTGTATGTTGGAGATGGTAGAGCCTTCACTCGTCGAGGCGT